AAGGGTATATCTCGACCACGTCATTCAACATTCTTCATCAAGCCAACACACGGACATATCACCATGTGTATTTCTATATCTTTGTACCTGCTGTGTTTATATTTGTAGTTTATACAATATGACCACTGTTCCTACGTGGAATACTACGCAATAAATATCTTATTATGCCATCATTGAAATGGTGTTGAAAACGACATTAAGCCTGTGTCGCCCACTCCGTAGCTATGCGGATCTCGTGGGTGTTGGCCGGTTTCTGTTTAAATCCACATTTAAACCAATCACCGGCCATAACTGAACTATTGTTAAAAATCGACGTTGCACTCGAAGTCACCCATCGGATACATCGTGATAAAACATTGGTTTACTTCAACCAGGCGTTCGTACAATCATAGTCTTCTCGACCTTACATGAAGCCCATTTCTGGTGTCCCCAGCTGTGATATTGCTGGAATATTGCTAAAAGCAATGTAAAAACTAAATTCACTCACTCACGACACTACAGTCGAGAGAGGAAGATGCTATAACACTCCATCATCTGAAAGAATATGTACTTACTGTAAAGCTGACAACACAAAGAGTGAGGGAAGATGTTATACCGGGACTAATGTCACCATCCGCATTGGCTTAGTCTGCCATACAAACCCTGAAACAAATATATCCAAGAACGCCCATGCAAGTCTAGAATATGTCGCAAATCTAGATTTCCAGTTTTCTGAAAATGAAGAAAGTCTCGAGGCTCCTTTTCATTATATTTGTTTATATTATGAACTGTTTTATCTGTAAAATATGTTCATTTCAGAGACTAGTTGTTAGTCTGACATTGGCTATGCTATCACTTATGAATCCACCAGCGCCTTCGCAAACATTTCGTCGTCCTTTACAAAATGTTCACGCAATAGAAAAATGCATCTCCCAACAAGGCCTCAAAATAGAAATATATTTCTGTTACATTGTATATTTCAAACTTTTTAACCTTTCTTTGTAACCAGCCATGTTCCCGCCTTGTACTCAACCCGTGTTGGTGTTTATGTTCAATAAAGATAAACCTTCGCATATTACACACATTTGCAAACACGATCGCGTAGTTTAAGCAACTTTATTAAAACTACAATTAAATCATACACGTATTTCAATTGTAAACGTGTAATTTCCAAAGACAGCATTGTAATAAATACCCACTTATAGTCTACCCAATTTATCTTTTTTAACGAATAACCAGAAAAAATACAAGTATTTTATGAAGCAATAATATTACCATTACGACCATGAACAAAAAACAGTCTCTTTAATGCTCAGTTTGTTTTCCGACGGATATTGATGACGGACGTTAAGAATAGCAATGTCAGAATAAAATATCTATTCTCTTAAATTTGTTTTGGAACTGCAGTCTTTTTCTCAATGTAGAATTTCCCCTCGCTGTTGTGGAGACGATGCCGACTGAGGTCGAACCCGAATGGCACCCTCGTCTCGGTACAATCCTTCATGGCGTCTACGGAGTCAGCTAATTAGGAAACAGTGATGAGCGCGGGATTCCGCACGTGCTTCACGTGCAAGTGGCATGTACATTTCAAGACGAATGACGAGCATGCGAAGTTTGCCGCTAAAATTGCATCTCGACGGCCGTCGAAACCAGACAAGCGAGGTTTTATGGCGAAATATGTAAATACTACAAGCTAACTGGAAAAACTAGCATCGGAAAGAATGCGCATCAACGTGGTGTCATGCGTTGCCAGGGTTACTGTGTCAGCGGGAGCTATTAACCGAAAAAATATGAGGGTAGAGTGAGACGGTGAATCCGCCCAGTTGAAGGGACACGTCTGGTCATGATGTGGGTTGTTCTTGATTTACTGGGACTTTAAGATTAAGAGAATGGATACCAACATCCCCTTTTCTATTATTTAGGCTAATGCCAATATTGGGTAATTGTCATGTTACGTCGTATGTTTGCCGATGATCAAAGCAGGACAAAACGCTAAATTAGAAACATTTTAATTGTATTTCACATAAACTTCGACATCCAAGCGATTTGGTTTTCTTCACGTTTTCCTTGATATATCGTTGTTGTAAGTCCAGGCTGTATATGGTGGTGTATTTCGGTGTTGTTTGGCTGAAGTGTTGTAGGCGGCGCTGTCACTCACTCACTCACTCTGAATCTCACACTTGTGACTTGAACTGACGTATTTCCTCCACATACAGAGGCATCACATCTACGAATTTAAATAAATTCCTTGTATTACGATAATTTCCTCACTCCTAATATTATTTTCATGTCATTAAACTGCATGTATTTCAAGATGATATGGTTACAATGCTCCTCATGTAGAATGTAACCATGTATTTTTGTACATATTGTGCATATATTTATAGTTAGTGCCCAAGATAACAAGATAACGGTATAAGAATCTATACCGAAACGTCGCATCATAATATAATAAAGAACTTGTTATCCATAAAGTGTCATACCTTTCTTATTGCATATACTAGTGCGTTGGTTGTAGAATATTGCCACTGTTCCTTCTTGGAATGATATACATTAAAATATTGTATGCTTCAGAAAATATACGCATTTCATTCGTACATATGATATTGTATTACTTTATAGCAATGTCTTATTCTTCTATCATAGAGTAGGTTTAGTATGTGTTGAAAGTTTGGATTTTCAATCCTCATAATAAATCATTTGTTGGATTTGTCATGAAAATATTTCCTCCCAATCCTGCTTTATTGCGGGTGTATGATAAGCCTCACCGTGGGTCGTGATTCATCGAGCACAATGGAATCCTCAGGTTACACGTTTAATCAACGACACACAGTTTAAACCGAAACAATTGATAAGCTCCACAGAAGTGGGTAATATTGCGATCAGAATCCCAATTCCAGACTTTCCTAAGAATTGATCTGGAAGTGAGAAAAATATGAAATATCTGTAACCCTATATGATAATTCCTGCGTTGAAAGTGGCTAATGAAGACAGCGACGACATAAAGCGATACCTGAGACGTACCCGAAGCCGACGCGAGGTTTCAAGACGCCATGTAACGCGCGTCGTAACGGATCGGTTTTCTGCACCCCATCTGGCCCAAGTAAAATAGACCTCTCGTTATCACGAAGAAGTGTATGTGGTGAAATGCTAAAAAAAACCCGACGGTGCCATTTGAAAATAATTTCGCCATTTTTTCCCGGAGACGATACTAATCCATCAGCTGGATCGTTCAAAACAGTATGGCTGAGAGGGAACTAGCCATAGGCTTTCGGTAAACACGGACCATGTTTACACAGAATTTGTAAAATTCAAAATAAATTCAGAAATAAATGCCGTAGATTCTTGTTAAGTCTGCGCTGACTTGGGTTGGGGGTTTCAATAGATGTGGCAACTTAGTATCGTAAATTACACAAGTCGTCACAGACGGAGCAGATCCACACCGGATCAGATGCTATCGGCCGTGGTTCCAGTTGGCTTGAGGATTGATATGTTACTAGCGTAGCTGCTCCCAAATTGCTGTTTATCCCCCAGAACATTGTCTAGGAAGGACGGCAATAAAGAAGTCAGGCGGAGGTTTTAATAAGAGAAACATGGTTGGTTATTCGAAAAATCGGGTCAAATCGTAGACCTTCGTTCCGGTGGAGATTTCTAGTCTGATCTCATTCATTCCGGAAGTTCACTGACACTTACTTTTGGACTTGGTAGTATAATGGCTGATATGCCTTGTTAAGCGGCGTGTGAGCAGTTCAATATTTGGCACAGATTACATACACGTTTGTGATGTTCAGTAATTGCGGGTTATCTTGTGGTTGTCTTGAATTCTGTAACATATGAATGTGCAAATGTCTGCATATGCATGTGTATCTATGACATATGTAATGTAATTGTATGTAAGTAAAACAGGTTGCCTCGGTCCCGCAGTGGAAAGTGTTCTGCAATACATATATCTTACCCTTCTTATCTTATAACCACTCTCTTGGTTTTATGAGGTATTTAAACTGTTGCATATTGAAGTTAGAAAACTCTAACGTTATGCTTAACTGTGGTTATCTGTTAATCTGTTTATTTTTAAAACCAAAAACCAGATTTTCTCGACGTTTATTATCGTATGCGACCGCCCTGGTAGATGTTAAAATATAATGCCTAATTCTAAAAATGAATACTTTTAAAGAATTCGAAATTCATTGTAGGCCTAAAGTTCAGTAAACCCTGTCCCCAGTTACTTGAGTCCACTCAAAGACCACACGTGTTGTGTTTAAAAGAAATCACGTGCTCGTGTAACTTTGTTATAGTCCGTTTCAAAACACCTCGCCCAGATTGCACGCCTTGACGAGGCCTGCACGTATATGTTACGATGATTGTGTGTTAATTATTTTCACAGCGGGAATGTTTGATTTCATATGTCATTGAGTTGGTAAATACGTGGTTTGGGTCTCTTTGCCTGTTTACGTTAAGTTTGGCAGCAGAAGTTTCGTGTGCAGTGAAGGTTGTGAAGCGCAAGCACGCATTTTCATTGTGTCTATCGGTCTATTTTCTCTCCTCTCTCTCTCTCTCTCGCGAGAGAGAGAGAGAGAGGGGGTGTTAGAGAGATAGAGAGAGACAGAAAGAGTGTGTGTGTGAGAGAGAGACAGAAAGAGAGAGTGTGTGTGAGAGAGAGAAAGTGTGTGTGAGAGAGAAAGTGTGTGTGTCTGTGTGAGAGAGAGAGAAAAAAAGAGAGTGTGTGTGAGAGTGTGTGTGAGAGAGATAGAGACAGAAAGAGCGTATGTCTGTGTGTGTGTGTGAGAGAGAGAGAAAGAGAGAGTGTGCGAGAGAGACAGAAAGAGAGTGTGTGATAGAGAGACACACAGAAAGAGTGAGAGAGAGAGAGCGTGTCTGTAGTATTACATGGGTGGATGAAGGAGGCGGTGTAAAACAACATTGACTCACTGAATTAAGACAGGTGTCATCTGTTAGCCTTCAGTACATGGACCGTAAGACAAATGGGTAAATGAACTCGAAAATGATGATAACAAGGTTATCAATGGTTAGGGTTTTCATAGATGATTCGAAATGTGGAAATATATGAATCATAAAGCGGAACACATTCAAGAAGTTTAACCCGTAAATATTACTGTAGTGCTACTAAAAATGATTTCTAGGATAATCAGGTGAACAATGCTACATTCCATGGATTTTAGACATAAAACCCCACTTTACTGTTTGTAGATGAGAAGGTATTGCAAAGCGAGGCTCCCAGTCGTTCACAATCTGTAAAGTAAACAAACAGTTTTCCTCTGCATCTTGAAACTGGTTGACTGAGTCATTTACGCTGATGACACAATCTTATGAACAGTCGTCACCATGACAGTTCCAGCAGATCATGCTCACTGTGAAATAGGTTCTTTCTTGTAAGATGCTTCGTTCGTTTTTGAGAGGTATATATTTTCAAGTTTGACATTTACCGATTTGTTTGTTTTAAATATCTAATGTTCACAGATTCTGCCAGTTAATTTTTCAGAGCAGAGACATCGCCTCTACTTGGATCTCAGCGTTTCACAAACAAACAAACCGAACATAGTTTAGTGTTTGTGTTATTTCTGTAAAAACTCATTCTGAAAACGAAACCTGTTTCTTTCCAGCCAAAGTCTCACAGCAAAGAAAGTTGTTTTATTTTCTTTGGGTAGAACGAACCGAATCATGTCGAAACCGGATCGGTCTCGCCCGTATGTTGCCACAATAAAAGGCGGAAAATCCGAAATGTTTGTAGTTTTACTGTCGTTGTTTTTCCCATCGTGGGATCATTGTTTTCCTGTCGTATGACCTGACCTCTGACCTTGGCCTGAACTGGTGGGTTTTTCCCGCGGATAAACATCAGGGACGGATCATGTTCTGTGTAGTTCCATCAGCCGCTCTGTCAAGTGAATAAACAAACAGTAATAAAACTGACTGCAAATATAGTCATTGTTATTTTATATTTCAACATGTCAAAGTTTGCAGTAGCAATTCCTTGAATAATTTTGAATATACCTCATAAAGTGCACAGCTATAATATAACTGCAAAGTTAAGAATATACCAAACAAAGAGAAAACATGAAAAAAACTGATAAACTGAAAGGTTTTGAATATAGCTGCTAAACTGAAAAGTTAAGAAAATATATGACGTTCTGAATACTTTCGAATTTAACCGATGCACGTAATAGTATCGAATACCTGACAAATGACTTAATTATGAATATACTTGACAAACTGAGCAATTGTGGATAAATCTGATAAACTGAGTAATTATGCATATACTTGATAAAAAGAGTAATTGTGAAAATGCTTGACAAAGTGAGTAATTATGAATATGCTTGACAAAGTGAGTAATTGTGAATATACTTGACAAAAAGAATAATTATGAATATATCTGATAAACTGAGTAATTATGAATATACTTGACAAAAAGAATAATTGTGAATATACGTGACTAAGTGAGTAATTACAAATATACTTGATAAAGTGAGTAATTGTGAATATACTTGACAAACTGAGTAATTAGGAATATGCTTGACAAAGTGAGTAATTACGAAGATACATGACAAAGTGAGTAATTATGAATATTACGGTCAAACTGAATAGTTATGAATAATCTTGATAAACTAAATGGATATGACTAGCCCTTTCGTTAATAATGGTTATCATAATAACATCAAATATCTTGCAGCTACTGGGATGCTGCTGCAAACATCGAGGATGATGGAGACGTTGATGATGTTGATAACGATGTCATCCATTGAGACTGTGATGATGTTTTTACCATCATCATTTCAATAATGATGATTTGTAACGACTAATAATCATGATAAATTGCAGATTACACTGTCTTGTAAGGGATTACTAACTGATTTTTTTTCTATTTTCAATTCCATTGTAGTGTTCATTCGGATCAAGGCCACTGGCTAATATACATAGAAAGTGCATCTATACATTCCACAATGCTACATGAATTCATACATCATACAATTCAAATATCTATTAAACTTTGCCTCATTGCATACCTTTTTTTAGAACATAAACTATTTATATTTCTCATTATAAATATTGAGATTATCAGAATACAGTTTAGGCCGAGAGAAGTGTCTTGTTCTTACAGATATTAAATATTATAGCAAAATTATCTTTATAACATGTAGCATATACTAGCCAAATATATTTATACTTCATTTAATGTGCACACAGATCTTAGCGACACAGTTACTTAGCGACAGTAATTACCTAAGAAATGACAATATCGCGTGGTAAATTGTAATCGCTACATGATGGATCATCTCATACATGTTTAGATCCCTGACTAGATGATGACTCGAGGAAAAGGTGGATGGTGTATGACGGGGAGGGTATAAGAACAGCTTGATAAGACAATAGACCATGGTATATAGTGGATGGTAGCTTCAGTTCATTCAACAGATAAATGCCATCATTACGATACACATACAACTAGTAATACCATAGTATAATATTCCGTATTGATTGTAACAATTATGATGATGATGATGACGATGATACATTTACTACTGCGGAATAGTATGCTTCTCCACTACGCCCTCACAACACCAGCAGACCACGTTGTTGTTGCTATCTCACGAGTAATTAAAATCAGTTAGTGTTTCTCTGAAATGACGGGTCTAACACTGAGTGATTATGTCACTAAAATAAAGGAGATATACCGTCCCAGTGTTATCAATCATCCGTATTCACTAGAAAACGCTGGGTCATTTAACTGGAAAGGGAATGATGAATTGTTCCCCAAAGAGACCGTGTATATTAATTCTACAATCAAACACTCAAGTCTTAACAATCTTAAGTCCATGTTTCTTTTTTTTTTTAAAACACATTTAAAAACAAATGCTATAAATATAAACATACCAATGCTGATTGATTCGGAACTCATTCACAAATATAAACTGCTCATCTCAAAACGTGCTGGGTGGCTTGGATGTCATGAAAATAACGGTTCACACAGTCCACCAAGATGGAATGATGCTTCGTAATATGTATATAAATTTTGTAAAACCTTAAAAGTTGAGCTAAAGAAAACCTCTCATGCTGTTGTTCTGTAAAAAGTTTATTGTCATTATATGACAAGACGTCATTTTTTATGCCCAGTTTGTGTGTGGTTACCAACATTAGAATAAACATAAAAATCGTTAGAACAATTTGCATCTGAGGAAATGTAATTTCAACACATGGGCATACGAGTGAATGATAGGTACATTTTGCATTTCTTCCAAAAACAATAGAAAAAAGTGTGATTCAAGAGCGCTATTGACCCTTTCAATGAGAAATTTACCGGACTAGGTCGATCGAAAGATATACGAATGAAAGCCGATATGCACTTACCCACTTATTTGCTAATTCTAGCCACGCAGTGCACGGAAAACGTCTAGACTAGACTTCTTACACAGATAAATTGTAAGAAACGTACAATAGAAGTTTGAAAAAACACCTTATGAGTGCACCGAGAAATGCGCATTATGTGAAAATATCTGTCTTTTTATTCTTTTATTTCACAAAAAGATGGTCACCATGCTTCCATCGTAAGTGTTTTAGAAATAAACATTTCATTTTGTGAGAAATATTTGCGTATGTTGTCTATTTATGTTTCTGAGAGTAAGTAATGAAGAAATAAATATTTTTGTATATTTAATAAAATTACTGATTTTTCTACAAGTAGATTTGTATTATTCTAACTTCCCGACGTTGAATGTCGTATTAATTATAACAAGTTTAATTCAGATGATACAATCATTTTAATATGCGTGTAAATGGCGCTGTAATTGTATTTCAAACAATAATAGTAATAAAGAAAGTTATGAAAATGGTTTGTAATATTGATGTAGGAGATTAATAACAAACCTAATGTTAAAGTTGAAACGCTGAATGAAATTACTAGGGTTGAAATCGGGTTATATTTTCAAAGTTCAAAAGATTTGGAGGCCGTGTCTTTCGAAATGCTTTCTTTAATTTAATTAAAACCTTGGGTTTACTTCGCGTAAAGTAACGTATGTCGATTAAAACATTCTGAAAGAGTTGATCTTAATCAAGTGTTATAGACGCATTGTTGACAGATGCCATGATACATGACTGACAGTATCCACCAATATATATGAAGAGGGTGATTGAAAGGGTGTTGTTTTCATGTATCGTTTCAAAGATTAAAATTAATAACTCGTATAAATAACAATATTGATTGATGATTCACGTGGTAATGAAGCACCTATTTGTATGTCCATGTTCCCCGAAACAAGGAAGTACACACAAAGGCATTTTGCTGCCAGTCAGTTTGGTTTAAATAATCCATAAAAAATGAAACAAAAAAGTTTCCGACTTTCTCAGTTTAAAAACAGGACCACAAGTAGAAAACATGTAAAAAGATCTCAGCCAAGATGAAGATAGAGATGTGGCGGTGTATTCGTCCTGCTGAAACGAGCAAACCCCTGTCACAATCTTTGACAGTGGACGTTGTCACTGTAGTGATACTTATTGCTCCTTATTACGACATCGGGGACATTTTGCGACATTTCTGACGGATATCCCTCCGCCGATGGCCCTCGGGGGACTATATTTCAAGATGTGATAAATGTCGCCAAGTAATTAACAACAAAACCCAGCACGGAGACTGAATTGTCCCCGAACGTGAGATGGTCAGGTCTAGAGCAGTTTGAATATCCCTTGAAGCAAGTGTTAGTGTATGAACGTGACAGGGGAGCTGGAAAATGTGATTATATTTCAGTGTGGTGGCATCCAACATTGTCCTTTATGTTGACACTTCCTTGTAATAATTAATATGAAATATTTCTGTTTCAAAAAGTTAATATATATTGAAAGCAGGAAACGTGGCGTGATGTATCAGCTTGTAAGTATTTTTCAAGGACACTTGACATGTATATTTCGGTTAAGAATGACGCATGACAAATGAATCTTTACCATTTGTACCTGACACATGAAAAAGTACTTGAATCAATGACAAGTGACATAATATCTGACTGGCTTAAGGGATTGATGTTACCTTCAAAATGATGAATTATACCCTATCACTGGTTGAAATGGGTTTTTTTAGAAACACAAAAATACATTAACACTTATCCGTTGTTTGGTTCTGTAACAGATTGTGTCACAGGTTAGGTAGGTTACAGTTTGTCTCCACATGCATTACACACAGTCACTGCGTGCAACTGCACGTGCATGGACTGCAACTGTTGCAGCTTTGTATGAGATTTATCAAACCACATTGTGAGAATTGTTATGTTCTTTGCGACAGTGTCCTCAGTAAGACCACGTTTCCGTTTTGAAAGTAGTTTAAGATTTAATATGTGATACTTGTAACATGTATAAACTATCTGAGTCTTTTACACACACTAATTAGAAATACTTTCCAGACGTTTACAGCAACTTTAGACCAACCTTTTCGTATTGAAACTATTTACACATTGCATAATGTAATGTTTGGTTGCAGTAGGCTGCTGACGCATCGTTTCCTTATACCCCTACTAATGTTTTGGACGCTGCTACTACTGCAACTTCTACAGCTGCTACTGCCACAACGTCTACTTCTGCTACTACATTTACTGCCGTTAGTGCTCCTGCCACAACGTCTACTTCTGCTACTACATTTACTGCCGCTAGTGCTCCTGCCACAACGTCTACTGTTGTTACTGCTTCTTCTACTGCTGCTACTGTTACCCCATAAGCGTCAACTACTTCGGATGTTGCTATTGCTTAAGTTACTTCTACTGCTACAACCTCTACAACGACCACCACGATATCCACACTGTAGTAATGCCTTGAAATACAATGTTAAGATTGATAACCTTGTTTGTACATAACTGAAATCAACACTTTCTACTAAAAACAACAACAAAGCAATTATTT